TTTCGGATCTGGAGAGAGAGAATAGATGAGGGAGAAGATGTTTTTTTTCCTACAATTAAAATAAATGAGTAATAATAACATTACTATATATATGGGAAGTGCAGAGGAAAAAAATTAGGAGAGAGACTGATTTGGAAGATGAAAAGTGGAGTAGGAATTTATGTAGAATTTACCAATAATTTTATTGTTATGTTGATTATATTCATAAAATCAAGTACTGGTAACTTTGTTGAAAATACGAGTTAAATGAGCAATTTATAATTGTCGATATATGTTCATTACTTTCATAAAATTATTGATTTATGAATATATATATATATAGAGAAGGGATCATATGAGAATGACTCTTAATGCGAGAAGTGAGAATGATTCTGAACCAATAGATAAAACATATCAACGGTCATTATTAAATCAAATCTATTAAATAATGATAAATCTGTCAATGGCAACTCCGTAAATAAGTAGACATCATGTGGTCAAATATCTAAATTTATCCACTTAGTATAGACATTCTGGACATTACATTTTCATCCACTATCCATGTGGGACCCACCAATCATAATACAACTCACCCCTCAATCTCTCACACGCACAAACACACACTCTGAACCCAACTCACAATTCTCTCTCATCGCAGGGACACACACAGTCGCACATCGCCGGTGACCACCTTCCTCCCGCCGGCGGTGTTGCCAGCCGCCCAGCCCCCACCTTCCTTCAGCCTGAGTCATCGCCGTCGTCAGCCAGTTGATGTCGATGGCCACCGAACGCAGCTTGCAGGCGGCCAAATCCGACATTGCCCACCACAAATTCTGCGGCCACCGATCCGGCGACGTCCAAATCGGCCAATCAGCCGGCGGTTCTCTCCAGAAATCTCTCTTCCGACGTTAATGGCATTCGATTCGATGGCCAATCGGAGCCCGCGACCACCGACCAAATGTAGAGGCTGACGGAATCGAAGCTACGCGGCGGCGAACGGCGGCGGTGCGACTCGATAACGGACGGAGATGAGGCGTCGAGCCGGCTGACAGACGAGGCGGCGAGCAGGCCGACGGAGGCTGTGCAGTGCCGTGGCGGAAGAAGACGAGGAGTTTGCGTCGGCTGACAGTGACGATGCTATGATGCGGCTGACTCCGGCGACGCGGCGGTCCGGCGGCGGCGGTGTGCTGAATGAGAGGGACGACCTAGACAAAAATGTCTTGTTATTGCCCTTATTTTTTAAATGGATTTTGGGGTTTTTTATTTTGTAAATTAGATAAATTATAGGGATCAATTTGCAGTTTTAAAAAATTACTTTTAATTATGAATCATTATAATTGATGATTAATTATAAAACTTACTAAAAATCTATTAAATATAGAATGTTGATAATAATTTTAACAATATTTATATGGTTATTCAATTTAAATTTTCATAAATTTTAGTATTAGTATTTTATATTTTTTAATTGATATTTTATATTATTGTTTGATTAAAAAAATAGTATATATGTAGACGAAATATATTGTGCAATATAACAACTACTAAAGTGCAATCCGTCCAACAATATGGTGCACGGTGTTGGTCTACATTGTGCAGATTGAATTATTCGGACTTTTGTCCCGACATCAAATCGAAATATTTTTTTTATTTATATAAAAATTATATTTAATATGTTAATAACTTTATATATTATTTCACGTTGAAAATTTTTGAGTTCGGCCGATTTTGATTCTTATCGTGCAATCCGATAACATTTTAAAGTGCAACGTGTTGTCTTGTAAAGTGCAACGCGTTGTTTTATAAAGTACAATATATTAGTGTATACAGTGAATTATTGTAATTTTGTTACGTTGGCATGCTCGTCTTTTGTGTGGATAAATAGTTTGATTGATGTTAAGATATTATGTGGTATTTTGGCCGGACTTGTTTCACTTTAATTGTAGAACGTGATGATAAAGTGCAACGCATTGATTTATAAAGTGCAACATAATGTTCTATAAAGTGCAACTCGATCATATATAAAGTGCACTAATTTATATGATCACATATAAATTGTGTGTTTTTGAAATCTAGAATAGTAGATATAATTGCACATAGAATTAACCAAAATAATTAAAATAATTTGTTATAAAATTATATTTATTATTTTAATATTTTAAAATATTATCATTTCACATATTAAAATTTTTAAACGTTATTTCACTTTATTTATCATTAACATGCATTTATGACAATAATGCAAATTTAATACACATTTATATTTTATTTATTTTTTTACTATTCTTTATTTAATATTTTACAATTATTTTTATTGAAAATACATAATATATCTCTCTCTCTCTCTATATATATATATATATATATATATATATATTTGGCCCTTGTATATATATATAAAAAAAAAAAAGAAATAATATCTTTTATAAATTACATAATTAGTCCATGGACCAAATTGGAATTTAACTAAAATTCTTTTAATTGCAATTGGGTCCTTCAAAGTTATCAAATTCTCAACTACATGCCCCTAACTCCAAACAACTTGCTAGTCAATTTCCGGCGCCTGTAATCGACGGCG